TATATCCTTTCTAAGAAGAAAGGAATCTGTAGGAAACAACTGTCCGCCACGTAGTGACAATAAGAAACACTGATTATACATAGATGTTGATGTCACATTAAAAGGAACATTCTTATAACAAATAGGTGTAAGTTAGTTTGACAGTTTTCAAACAATACTTATATATATATATATATACCATGTGATAAACTTTGTTGTTAATACAAGTTTGCAATGTTTCATACGTTTATAGTAATATAAAATTTGTAATAAGTATCCACAATTTATATCTCCACAGGTTATTGGCCCATTGGATCTTCGGCCTGTAATGTCTGGGTAACATCTGACGTTCTTGGTTGTACCTCGTCTATTATTCACATGTGTTTTATCTCACTTGGCCGCTACTTGGGGATTCGCAATCCCCTCAAAACTCGCGGAACCTCCAAAAAGGTCGTTACGATGAAAATTGCTATAGTATGGTTGGTTTCCATGGTAATAACGAGTCCAATCACAGTGCTTGGAAACATTGACTCTGAAAATATACACTCAACAAATTATACTTGTGCTATAAATAACCGCTTTTTCTTTGTATTTGGTTCGTTGTCTGCCTTCTATATTCCCATGTTCGTTATGGTGACATCCTATGTCTTAACAGTCCGCTTACTGCAACAAAAGGCTAAGTACTGCGCAGAAAAATCCAGTCGAAGGGTGCCCTTCATTAACCGATCTCGAAGGCACTCATTACAAGAAACATCAACCAACCCCCTTGGTACCACCTCCAAGAAAGAAAGCAATACGTGCAACAAGTGTGGCGCTCGTCAACATCAGGACATGCATGAAGAAGAAACATTCCTAGAGCCTCATCACGGAAACTCACGTGTAAGTTACGTAGACTTTCATGGTTCCCTGAACAGGCAAAATAACATAAAATTCAAAGTAATAGGAGGAATGATTTGTGCTCTAGGTACCAGTTCGCAGGTGATGAATGAACAAAAGGCGACCAAAGTTCTTGGAATTGTTTTCTTCTGCTTTGCTATTTGTTGGACTCCCTTCTTTACGTTAAATATTCTGTTTCCATTCATAGACCCCACAACTTTTCCCGACTACCTCACAACTACTTTCCTGTGGTTGGGTTACGTGTCATCCACTATTAACCCTATCATTTATACCATCTTCAACAAAAAATTTAGAAGAGCTTTCTGGAGACTCTTGTCGTGCACATGTTGTTTAAACAACGTTAGGTCTCCCACCATTAACGAAATGGCTACATGGCCAACAAAGTCTACACCTTTTGTAGTCAAAAGTGATCCTCCGCCTGCTAGTCGCATAGAACCAATATACTGAATGTACTCAATACTCTCTGCCTTGTCCTTATCAATATATTTATTTTGCATTAGAGCCATCTTCCGCTTATGCAGTAAAGAGAAGTAATGCGAATGTTTGCATTAGAGCCATCTTCCGCTTATGAAGTAAAGAGAAGTAATGCGAATGTTTGCATTACAGCCATCTTCCACTTATGCAGTAAAGAGAAGTAATGCGAATGTTTGCATTAGAGCCATCTTCCGCTTATGAAGTAAAGAGAAGTAATGCGAATGTTTGCATTAGAGCCATCTTCCGCTTATGCAGTAAAGAGAAGTAGTGCGAATGTTTGCATTACAGCCATCTTCCGCTTATGCAGTAAAGAGAAGTAATGCGAATGTAGTAAAATCAGTTCTTCTCTCCCACGAATTGCAGAATAAATCTGTTGAAAACAACTGAACGACTTACAACCTCCAAATCCCAATGTCCAGAACGTATTCTCACATTCCAATCACACACAGTCAGTTTTCAACGTTTGATAACTTAGTAATTCATTGCACGACGTAGTAATGTAATGTTTGTGTTGTATTTTCACGGTTTCTTAAAGCTTAAGAAAAGAACATTTATGCACCTTTCTTGAACGTGATTTTGTGAAGATATAAAGGACCAGCTTGGCAAATTTTATGTTTGAAAACTTTCCTTCAAGTTGGCAGCTTCTGTCCCAGTACAATGAAATACAAAATACTCGGAATAAATAATACTTTTAGGCTAGTGAGCAGTTGAAAGTGTAAGACTGAAAAATTTCCATCACAGAAAATATTGTTATTCTAGCTATAAAAGTTAAAAAAATATTAACATTTATTTATATTAAAAACGATGGAATAATTGATTCGGAATATTTAGAAGAGCTACACGATAGAACAGCAAAGAGCTGGCAACATTTTTGTAAATATGGAATAAGAAAAAAGTTATTGTTCTAGCCATATCATGTTAAAATATCTATATGTACAGGTTTAGTCATCAGAATAACCTTAACATGATAAGACTGCTGAAATTACAGCCTGCAAGTCATAAACTACTTGAATCTATTATAGCGCATAATCCTTTTAGTATGTTAAAACTAAAAATAAAAGTATATAACATATTGTTATTATATATATATACACACACACATATAACATATTGTTATTATATATATATACACACACACAAATCAGAATATTCGAAATCCCGTGGAGACACGTATGTTGGAGAAACTGGCGAAACAGTAAGCCAGAGGATTAAAAAACATCAATACATCACTCAACTGCTACATCATTGGTTAGGACCGACGACTAAATATTCAGTACGTCTCATTACTAGGAAAATGGGAAGCTTTTTTGTATTAGATCCCGTAATCCAACACTTCACAGAAATTAGTCTATACTTCCTTCAAAATATGGGTGTCCATCTTGTTCAACTAACACAGAGTACCTGAAGAAAGAACAACTAGAGCTCTTCCACAAAATCGCCTTCATATTAAAGCATGGATTTTTGGATGAAGAACACATCATAAAGATAGACACGCCGGTCTCTCAAACTCCAGATAGAGGCAGTGTATTAAAGATTCAACGCTAGTACAATCTATTCTACCAAAACTAGCCTGTAAACAATATTTAGGATCTAAACGATCATTTGACCAAAGTTTACGTGTGTACGAGCTTATAACCTGGCATGTATCTTTAGAAACATGACTCAAGAAGATTATTGAAACACGTTATATACGTCCAAGATACACAAGTGTGCACAGAAATACAAATATATTACTACAACACGTAGAAAAGATCTATGGCTAATCCGACCATCCACATGACACAATTACGATTCATAGTAAAAGGGATTAAAAGTGGCCAAGCTTTTGGGTTCAAACAGCATCGGATACACTATTAGAGAACAGAAGGAATGATCGAAGATCAACCAACTTCTCCAACATATGGCAAGGGTTGCAGGTGACAGTTGCCATATAATATACTCTAAACACGATATGAACCACGGATAGAAATCATTTACTCAAGACAGCATAATTCATACGGGCAGATGACTTAAGGTATATTATTTGTGACTGTTTTACGCATGTATATGTAAAAGTCTTTGTGGTATACACGAATAAATTATAAAATTCGATGTAAACTAGCCTGCTCTTTGATGTTTACTTCCCTTATGAAAACGGTCTTACAAGTTAGTATCTCAAGTTCTCAGCAAACGTCCAGCTCTCATACAGATTCAAGTACATATAAGAATACAACACAATCCATTCTATTGTTAATCATTACAGCATTACTCGCACAATTTCAATATACAGTTTTAATGCTGAATATAGTAACTGATCGATAACAAACATTATGAAAGTTTACAAAGCTACAAAAAGCATACATATTTTATTAATAAACTGAACGTTACTTACAATATTTTTTATAAACATCCTAACGGTTGCACGACTTAGGAAAGCAAACTTCCGTTTCGATACTGACCAGTTTCAGGTTTTAATAAACTAAATATTTATGTGGCATTAAACGATATTTCACGTTTTCAAAACTACATTCTTTGAAGATCCTCAGTTTTAGAATACCACTAAATAAATTACTCTTTGAGGCCAACCACAGACCATTATGCTACGAAACTATTACCGATATAAATGGAAGTTTCTTCAATTACGAAAACTTTTTTCATGACTGTATTTCTTGGAGAGTTAGTCGACCTTTTATGATTGATAAGAAGTCACTTCCCACGCAGCTCATGATATTTTGTACTGTATCAATTATATCAATACACAAACAAGGGATAGTATGTAAAAATATTTTTACATGTTGAAGTAATCTTAATCTTGCTTTACACTTGAAGGATTGAATTTTTGAAGTAACAAAAGCATATAATAAACCTATCATTATACTTACAACTTTTGTATAAAAATGTAAATAAAAGTGTGTGTGAATAATGAGCGTATTGGGGAATAAATACGGCCCACGAAAATTATTTTTACAACGGTCCTACAAAGATGTCGGGGGACAGTGATTAATGTTGCATATTGTATAATACGTACTAGCATTACTTATATAGTTCACAAATTAAAGAAAAATATCTTGTGCAAAATATTTAATTTACAATCCAGTTTATTACTTTTATTATCCATCTTGGTAAAGTATAGACCTATATGGCCAGAAAGTTACATGAAGTGAAACATCAGCACACAAAAGATTTTTAAAGAGTAATTACCAGCTAATCGTACATCCACGCTACATCTATGTTGCACTGTAATCACTTAACGAGAAATTATGCACTCAATTAAGTTAGATTTCAATAATGCTTAAAAAAAAATTTTTTTTTCGAATAACCACCGGCTCACCTGAAATTATCCTGGCGTCCTGATGGCCCAAATCTGCCCCTTTTATGTCGGAGCATTGTATATTTTACTAAAATTGTAATACAGCAATTACAGTTAATACAAGTCTGGTTGCAAAGTTTTCGCTTATATTTGATATCAACTTTGCACATTATTTACCTAATCTAAACAATGGATACCAAAAACAATCAATTTAAACATATATATTATGGCGTGTATTTAACGAAGAAAAAACAAGCTTTGCTTCGAAAATGTCAAAACAGGAATAAAAAAAAAACTCAACAAAGAATTCCAAGTAGTCATAATACAAAAACATTGCCTAAATTTGTAGTAAAAGAAAAGTATCACGTGACGAACCAAAAACAATAACGTAAAGGAATAAAATATTGCAGGCAATTTTAACAACTTAATCTATCGCACATACAAAACATCCAATTTATCTGTTGCTTTTATATTTTGAGTATTATTTTACCTTAAAAGTTATAATAATAAAACATTAAACGTAAGTGCAGGAATTAAACAGAAGATAATTAACAATGTATTTATAAGTACTACCACACGATGAAATAATAATAATAATAAAAAACAATTATAATATTATCTATTATAGTAACTGGAAATCCTTTAAAAAGTAAACCAGTCTTTTAATAGTCGTTCAATATATTGTTGCGTCAGCGAGTCACGTGACTACTGTGACTCCACGTTTCTAGAACTATCCTGAACTTTGGCGAATGCTCTAGTATTTACTAGATATAGGGTAGTCGGG